ACCATGATTTACCTAGCTACTGTGCTCTGGATGAGGGCTCGAACTTTCTGTAATTGCCCACAGCGATCTGTGCCAGGAGAGGAACTGGCACACCTCCTCGAGCTGATCAGGTGTGGCGAGTCGCCTCCGCGCACCCTCTCCCAAGTACAGGTGCCCACCACCGTGCCAGTGCTGGCCGCGTTCAGACCCGGTTCTGCCGTGCCTGCTTCCCACCTCCCTCCCTCCCTGAGCCCTGAGGGAGGCTTGCAGACAAGTCTCAGAGCAAGGACCTCCTCCTCCACAACCATGTTTCCACCACCACACCGCCAACACAAGGGTCGCAAAATGTCCTCTGGCGTCACTTTGGGCTTTGGATGTGGTATGCAATCAAGGCTGATGCATTGTATTTAATTGTCAATACCCTTCCTTCTTTTTTTAATTTTCTTTTTGGGAGGCAGGGGGCTTTTAGGTCAGGGACGGTTTTGAAGAGTCTGGGCCAGTTGTCTTGAAGTGGGTCCTACAGCTGGATTTGTTGGGTGGTTTCTTCATGATTCGAATCAGGTTGAACTTTCGGGCTAGAGCATGGCTCAGGTGGTGTGTCCTCAGCGCAACCCCTTGCCGGGGGTTACCGCTTGGCTAGTGTGCTGCCACCCGCTTGCTTCCCCGTTTTCAGGGTACTTCGCTCTTGACAAGTAATGGGCAGGTTGCTCCATTCACCACCCAGGGACTGGACTGGGTGCGCCGTCCGCGCCGTGCCGTCCTCGGCCCAGCCAGTCCTCACCCTCGCCTCCAATAGCTGTCCCGCCCGTGGCTGCAAAGCGGAGCCTCTCCCAGCCTGTCCTTTGCCACCTGCATGCAGCAGCTGGTGTGCTCCTGGAAACACGAGCCCCCCTTCCCCTAACCAACATCTGTCCTTTGCCCCCCTCGTGTGTGTGGACTGGCATTTTGTGGCGGTGTAGGGTGGTCTCCTGCTTCCCACTTCCGGTACATTCACTCACCATCCCGGGCTCTTCTCTGTGAACTCTGTACCCCCTTTGCTCATTTTTCTCTTCAGCGGCTTGCCTTTCTCCTCATGGTGCCCTGAAGTTCCTTATATACGCCCAACACGGACCTGCATCAGGGATGTGCTACAAATACCCGCTCTTAACACGTGGCTTGTGGTCCACTAGGCTCAAGGCATCTTTTGGCGCAGATGTGGGAAGAGACGGCAGGACCCAGATGCAGTCCCTTGTCCCGAGCCCACGCCACCAAACTGAGACTTAGTAGTGGCCCAGTTGCAGGGATGAGGTGGCGGCTGACAGAGCCCCACATCCCCCCAGGCAGCCAAGGCCGCCCTCCCCCGCCCACACCCCTCTCCCTGTGCGACCTCATGCCTTGTTCCCCGGGGCCCCTTCCTGCCGGCTCCACGGCGCTGCCTGAGTCCAGAGCCCCCGCGTGAAGCCAAGAAGGCCTTTAGAGCTTGCTCACTTGGACCCTGTTTTTTAACCGAGAGAGATTCATGTTCTTAAAGCTTTCTTTACGCCTGTGGAATTTATCAAACTCTTGTTTTATGGTTGGGAGGTTTTACACCTGGTTTAAGAAATTCCCCTGTTCCAATGCTCTCTTATAGCTGCTTCCTGAAAGTTGTAATGTTTTCCTTCTCAGATTTAGTTCTTCAAACAGGGGGTGGGGGGGGGGGCTGATTTTTGGTGGCTGGTGTGAGGAGGTGGTACCCTGTTTTATTTATTCTCAGTGTTGGTCCGTCTGCCTCCGCAATACCACCCCCCTCGACACAGCAGGTGTGCCCGTGGCCCTGCACGTGGGCCTGTCTTCTGTGTCCATGTCCGAGCCCGTGGCCCTGTACGTGTCTCTCTGGGAGCCGGCACCTCCCCTCACACGGTCTGGGCTGTCCACAGCCCCCTTTCCTTCCCCACGCATGTTAGAATCAGCATGAATTTACATTATGTCCTTGTGGGAACATGGTTAAGTTGCCCTGAATTCATAGATTAATTTAGGGAGAATGAACACTTTTAAGCTATTACTGCTTTCTCTTAGGGAACATATAACAATCTCCAGGTATTGGTGCTTTTTAGATATTTTCAATAAAGTGATTTTATTATCTCTCTGGTTGTCTTGCACATGTTTTGCCAGATTTATCCTTATTATTGTTATGTTTTAACATTTCTGTTGTAAATGATATTTTTAAACACTGTCCCCTAACTCTCGATCTTTCTGTCTTATGCTCTCGTGTACCCACACAGAACTCTTAATTCTAATAATTCAGAATTGCAGATTTGCTTTTTTTTTTTTTTGTAGATAATTATTTGGTTGGGAATAGTGGCAATTTTTTAAGGCACAAGTAGATAAGACAAAATATTTTTTCCTTGCCCTCCTATCCTCTTTTTTTTTTTTTAAATTCCATTTATTTATTTGACAGAGAGAGAGAGAGAGAGGGCATGAGAGGGAGGCAGAGGGGCAGAAGGAGAGAGAATCTCAAGCAGACTCAGCGCTGAGCATGGAGCCCGACGTGGGGCCCGATCCCACGACCCTGGATCGTGACCTGAGCCGAAATCAAGAGTCAGATGCTGAACCTACTGAGCCCCCCAGGCGCCCCTCCTGCCCTCTCTTTTGTTTTTTGGGAAGTTTTTCTTTCTCGACCTAAAGCTCTGGCCCGGACACCTGGGTCCCCCCCAAGCCTCTGCTCTGTTAGTGACTCAAGAACCACCGCATTAGAGAGGAGGATGTCGTTTAAAACAGTTCCTCGTACTCTCGGTGGCTCAACCTCTTTAAAACAAAGTCAGTCTATTCACGTTTTGCTCTTCACCTTGAGTCAACGCAGTAAGTCCCATTTCCCGTAGAAATTGGCCATTTTACGCAGTTTTCAAGAATACCGTCACGAAGCAGTTTCTGATGCGCTTGTGCCGGTAGCTCTGTTCCGGCTACAGCGGTGCTCTCGTTCGGCTCCTCGCCCTAATCCCCCTCATCTGGGCCTTCTGCCTCCCGCTCCCATGAGGCTGATGTGGGACAATGTCACCAGCCCTTTTGCAAAACCGATGTTTGACCCTTGAGCTTGTGCATTCACTGGGAATTCCCATTATCTTCTCTTTCCTCATTATTCCCATGCTTCTCTTTCCCTGGGTTTCGGTTTCGGGCTTATTTTCCAATTTCTTGAATTAGATGCTTAACATTAGCATTTGGGGGGTCCCTCCCCGGGCTTTTCCTTTGGGCCCCCTTCAGTCCCCAGCCTCCTGCTGCCGCTCAGCAGAGCCCAGCCTCCCCCAGGTGTGTTCACATTTCTAAACATATGCTAATGAGTTACCTGCCCCCCACCTCCCCCCCCCATGGGACTTGGCTGCAGAGGGCTGGCCTCAGGCTCCACGTGCTGGGTGCTGGTCTACAGTTGAGGCAGCTCTAGGGAAGGCATCACACGTGCTCCCCGTTTGCAGGAACGGCCTTCCACCAAGGCCCATCTCTGCCGCCTGACTGTCTGGTTCATATCCGCCCCCGGTCCTCCCGGCCTGGCAGCAACTGAGATGTGCTTTAAAACCTCCCACTGAGACCCCAGACTTGTTCGTGCTCCCTGTGGTTGGTGGGTGACTCGGGGGCTCACACTGCTCTGCATCTGCACCACTCCAGGGGTCAGGTGGGGGGCTGGCCCTCCTGCCCTTGTGCTGACCAGCTCCCCAGGGCAGCCTCTCAGAACTAGGCAGCAGGGGGGCTGGGGGATGGAAGTGGGGGCTCCATGGCTCCCACCCCCTGTTCTCTTAAGGTGTCCCCCTTTGCATTACTGCAGTAACGGTCATTGGCTGTTAGTGCACCTGCATACAGGTGTGGCATGTGGAGCTGGGGGTGCATGTATGTGGGGGGCATGTGTGTGCCGGGGAATTGGTGTCTGTTGGGTGTGTGGCTCCATGCGGGATGTGTGTTCATGTGGGGCACGGATATGTGTGTTGGGGCAGGCACACGTGTGCATGTGCTCTCTGGGGGTTCACCCTTGTTGTTGGGGTCCCGCCACCCCATGGCAGACCGCAGGGCACGCTTGCTCTTTCCCTCCACTCTGCAGAGCCTTCCCGGAGGGGCGGCTCCGGACTCTGAAATTCAGCTTCCTCCATGAATACTCTGCTGTGCAAGGCTCTACGTCTTCATCCAATTTTTGTGATTTATATTTTCCATAATTCTGTTTGGTCAGGATTTTCAAATTTATTACACAGTTGTGCACTGTGTTCTCTTATAATATAGAAAGAACAGTCTGTGTTTGCTGAGTCTGCTCTCTTGACACGTGCTTTCCTGCTCCTTTCCTCTGGGGGCGAGAGGCCCCTCCGGCTACGTGCACCCCCCTGTTCCGGACCCTGCTTCTGCCCCCACATTTCCGGGGGACGCCTGTAAGCTCTCCCACTGTGTTCCCGCTCCCCTCCCCCAAGACCCCTCTAAAGGCAAAGCTCTTCTACCCCAAATTGGCCTCAGAGCAGACTCAAGCGGTGGGGGACTGCTCACGGGGGGCAAAGACCCCCGCTGAGGTGGAGAACTGAGGGTCATAGGGGCTTGCAGGGTCGGGGGGACAGATGTGGAGGCCACTGGCAGGCCCGGCCATGTGCCCTGACCCCTGAAGGGGACCCCAGTGTCCCTCGGACCCCCGACTTGCGCTTCTGTCCTCCCTAGCTCGGCCCCCTCCTCCAGTCTGCGCGCCCCCAGCACCCCCCATCCAAGAGCCAGCGCACACTTGGTGGAGGGGAGTCTGCCAGCTTTATTCACAGACCCCAGGAGATGGGGGCAGCCAGGACAGAGACGTGGGGGGTGCTTGGGGGTGGGCCCTCCACCCCCATGCCTGGGGGTCGGATGCTGCCGCACAGGCTGCACGGGCCGAGGGTCTCTGCCTCTGGGAGCTCCTCTGGCTGCTTCACTTCCAGCGCCCGCCGACTTTGCCCTTGGCTGGGGCCCCGGCCTTCTTGCTACTGCAAAAGGAAGCAAGTTGATCTTCAGTGGCTGGGTGTTTGGGCCCCCGGCCCAGCCCCTCCTCGGCCCCCGGCAGACCCCCAGCCCTGGCAGCTCTGCCCACCCAGGCCGCTATCAGGGCGAAACGCCCAGTCTGACCTCAAAGCCCCGGGCACACATTCCAAGCAGCGGCGACTCACCTGTACCTGGCCCGGCTGGGCCTGGGCGCCTTGTGCTGGGACAGTTAGTGTGGTTAGGGGAGGGACCAGAGAGCACAGGACACCCCCTAACCCCGGCCAGGAGCTTGGGCTCCAGGGGCCCCACCTCGGGGAGACCCCAGGCCTGCCAGGGAAGCCGTCTCTGCAGATGGCTATCATCCTCCCAGTGACTGTGGCCTGGAAAGAGCCTCCTAGGTCACAGCCTCCTGGGGCAGGAGAGGCTCTGGACAGTCAGCTACCTTGGTCCCTGACTCTTGGCCAGCAGACCAGGCCTGGTAGACTTGGGGCCTGGGAGGCCTCTGTCCGGCCTTCAGTCCCCTGTTAGAACTGGACCGTGGAGTGGGGGGAAGTCAGCACCTTGCAGGGCGGCCATCCTTAGGATCCTGCCCTGTCTGTCGGAGGCCCTCTATGCACCAGGGAGCCAGGAGGGAGTTGGGTGCTGGGTCAGGATGCCATGGGTGGGGAACAGGGTGTGTGGGCCCCGGAAGCTGACCCTTTGGGACGACTTCTGGCTGGAGAAGGCCATGCAGTTCCCAAGGCTGGCTTCGGGAGAAGCCCTGGCCCCGGTGGCTGTGCCCGTGGTCCGTCCTGCAGGGGTTAGCCTGAGTACCCTTACACGCATGCACACACGCATGCACACACACATGCACACGCGTGCACACGCATGAAAGGGCTCTCACAAGGCCCGCATCAGCCTCACACAACAGAGTCCAGGGAGGAGGGGGTCACCTTCACTAGTCCCCCAGGGCGGAGGATCCCAGCCCTGGGAGCAGTAAGGGGGCAGGGGCCAGTGGAGGAGGGAAACCCCCGTCCGAGCAGTCCTGGGGACACTGCACCGTGTGGGGTGGGAACGGGCTCAGCGCAGGCTGGGAGGAACATCCCAACGCAGGTGGAGCGAGAGCACAGGCCCTCTCCAGACCTTTCCCAGCCGCTGTGCTCATGGGTCCCGCAGACCCCAGGGTGACCTTATGGACAGAGGGTTCATGTTCCGAGGAACCAGAGGCCCCCCCGGGGCTGCAGGGAGACCCATGACAAAGCCCGGGCTTCTGATGGCCTGCGCCAGCTCACCGCTGAGGCAGCTCAGTGTGGGGATGTCCAGGAGCCCCGTCTGGCTTTGCCAGGCTGCTGGGGAGCTGGCCCGGGACCGCCCATGTCCCCGCAGTCGGCCTCCTCCTAGGCTCTGGGGTGAGGAGAGGAGCCTGCAGGTCCGGGGGTGTGGGGCCCAGACATGCGGGCTCCAGTGGCCGCTGGTTAGTCTTGTTACTGCTCTGCCGAGGGTCGGTTGCCACCAGGACTGGCCGAAATCGCTGGGCCCGGGGTCGGGCAGCGGCGGCCAGCCCCGTGGGGCCACGTGCCCCGAACAGAGCCCCGGGGAGGGGCTACTCACTGCTTCTGGGCCTGGTCGATGCGGCTCCTGAGGTTGGTGATCTGCGAACAACACAATGACTTACCTGGCAGGTCCGGGCAGGGCCACACGGGTTGTGGCCGGCGTGCCCTTCTTCGGTGGATTCTCGCCGCCTCGCCGGGGCCGCCACGCCCTTACTGTGTCCTGGCTCCTCTGGGTGGAAGACACCAGCCCTCAGCCCTTGGGGCTCTTGCCTCTGACTTACTTTTGGTGGCCTGCGCTGGAGACCCGGGCCAAGACACACAGCAGCTCTGGAGCTGGCCACTCACCTGTAGCCTGCGGCAAGATGCAGGGCAGGGGCGTGGGGAGGGAGGCGAGGTTGGCAGAGCCCATGAGTCTGGTGGCTGCTGAGCGACCAGCCCTGCGGTCCCCTGGCTCCCTCCTCCTGACAGCCCGGGCAGAGAGGCTCAGGGAAAGGCAAAGCCCTTCCCCCACCTGCCAGCAAGGACAGCAGGTCAGCCTCAGCAGCCACGGACTGCAGGTGGTGGGGACGAGGTGGAGGCTGGAGGCCGTGCCCACCGCCGCCATCCGCAACGAGCCAGTTTGCCATGCGAGAGGCTCACCGTGCATTGCACACCACGAGCCTGGTCCAGGGTGGACTCTGCCTACTTACAACTTGGCCAGTACCTCCACTCTGGCCCGCATGTTCATGATCTAGAAAGACCAAGATGGTTAACAGGCTGGGCGGGTGGCTGAGGCTTTGGGGCCTTGCTGTGGCTGGGCTAGCCCAGCCCTGGGCCCTCATGGCCCTTCCAGCCCCCCCCGGGGACCCACCATGGGTCGTGCACACGAGTGTCAGGAGGCAGTGGGTCCCTGATTCAACCCCATGGACCCACTTCTGCAAGCCAGCCCTCCAATCCCAGGGGACCACCGGGAGAGGGCAGTGCTGTCCCTGAGCCTGGACACTGCAGAGCCACAGGGATGTGTGTGCTCGGCGGGGGCGGGGGGGGGGCAGCCCCAGGGCCGGTTGGATGGTCCTCCTCCTGGTAGAGGTGAGCAAACTGAGGCACAGAGGGACCAGGCAAATTGCCCTAGGGCATGGCTCCTGAGAAGGAGCCAGGAGTCACTGGACACCCTCTGTCTTGGTGGCCTGTAGGGATGGCCATGGGAGATGCCCCTTGGGTGTGAACTGTCTTCCACCAGGGACTCTGGAGGACACTGAGGGGTGGGGGCCATGCCTCTGACAGGGAAGCTAGAGGTGTTTGAGTCTGCACAGAGCAGGCTGGTTACCAGGATGGCACCCTCTCCCCAGGGCCCGAAGGGCCTCCGAGGGGACAGTATCTGCACGGGACTGCTGTTCTGAGTTGTGAGCCCCTCGCAGGCAACTCTAGGGAGCCACCCCCCACATGACCCAGTCCCAGACCCCTTTCCCAGCTGCCGAGCGGGGACGCGTGGCACCCTTCTGCCTGCTCTGACCGAGGAGGGGACAGCTCGGGGACCGAGCCCGGGGCCCCCAGGGGCTCTGAGGAAGCAGATGTCTCTGGCGGACACAGCTGGGACCTGGCTTTGCAGAGAAGGCTGTGAGGGAGGCCACCCCGGTGCCTGAGAAACCTACTGCTACCCAGGGTGGGCTTTCCACAAGCCCCAGGCAAATCAGAAACTGGACCCCGAGACTGCTCAGCCCTCTGCTCTCCCTTGCGGCCCCTCAGAGCAGGGCCGATTGCTTGGGGGCATGGAGGCGGGCTCAGAGGGTGCCCCCAGCCACAGTCCCTGGCAGGGTCCATGAGGACAGCCAACATGGGCTTCTCAGGCCTGAGGCTGTGGGGACTTGGGGAGGTGGTGGCCCCCAGTGGGCGGCCAAGCTGCAAGGTGTCTGCACTCACGTCATATTTCTGGCGCTTCAGCTTCTCCCCAAACTCGAACTTGTCGGTCTCCAGTTTGTAGAGGGTGTCCCAGAGCTCCTTGGCCTTGTCCCTGGGAGGGTGGCAAAGGTGCGGCTTGGCTGGGTAAGCCCTGGGAGGCAGGGTCCAGGCCACCTGCTGTCCCCCTCTGGCCACCACGGAGAACCTGCCCAGCGGCCTGGCTGCCACCCCTGGGCTGCGACACCTGCCCACCTCAGCTTGTCCTCGCTGAGGTGGTCGATGTTGAGCGGCTTGCGTCTCTCTGCTAGCACCTTCTTCTTCATCTCCCGGGCGGTCTGCTTCTTGCCTCTCTTCTGGTCGGCCTGTGGGGGCACAGCAGAGCGGCCTGGCCTCAGGAGGGGAGCACCGCACGGCTCAGTGGCGGTGGCTGGGTGTGCCGTCGGCGGCCGTGGCTCCGAGGCCCGAGCTCACCTTGGCCAGGTAACTGCTGTAGTTGGCGCCCATGGAGGACAGGGCCTTCTTCTTCTTCAAGTCGTCCTCTGCTCTCCTCTTGGCATCTTCCTCCTCCCTCCGGGCTTTCTCCTCCTGCGGAGACCCCGTCCCCAAGGCCCTCAGTGCTGGGCCGGGGCAGCCCCCAGCTCCCGGGCAGGCTTCCAGGACCCGCCCTGGGCTTAGCACTTTCTGCAGGGGCTGCAGGGCATGGGGACCTTAGCCAGGGTCTCCGGCCCCGACCGGTGTCAGGGGGCTGCTCAGGAAGAGGAGAGGGGATCTGCTCTGGTCACTGGCTTGGGGTCCGGGGCGGGAGAGGGGACATGGGCCTCACCGCCAGTCTGTTCTGGCGCTCCCTCTCCTTCTCGGCACGGATTCTCTGCTGCTCAGCTCTCTCCGCACGGCGCTTCTCCTGCGGCCAGAAGAGCAGGAGCAGGTCAGCCCAGCCTTGCCAACCGCAGCGCCCCCCCGCCAGAGGGGGCCCGGCCCCCCCCCCCCCGCAACTGCCCCAACTCACTATCCTCTCCTTGAGAGCAATCAGCTCCTCTTCCTCCTTCTTCCGCGCTTCAAAGTGGCTGTCGATGAGCGCCTGGAGCTCCATGAGGTCCTTGTTCTGACGCTTCTTCTGGATGTCCTGTGGGTGCGGGAGGCCCCTTCTCTCAAACCTCATCTTGCCTGGCCCACGGTGCAGCAGGCGGTCCCTTCCTGTGCTCCAGGAGGGACACCCTGCCTCCTCTGGCCACCGCGAACCCCGAGGGTGGCCAGGGACCATGTCCCCGCGGCTGCTGCCCTCCTGAGGACCAGGGGCTGCCCAATCCCTTAGCTCCAGTGTAGGAATGGTGCCCTCCCCATGGGTGAGTCTAGGCCCTGCACAGCCCTGAGGTCATCAGCACCCCCGGGATGGACTGACTCTGGCTTGGCTCTGTTGTCATCCCCAGAGATGATCTGAGTGGGCCAGACAGAGAGGGAACTGGTGAGTGAGGTACTTTGTTAAATAGATGGATGGATGGATGCATGGATGGGTGTGGATAATGGATAGATGGACACATGGATAATGGGTGGATGGATGATGGATGGATGATGGATGGAGTGGGTGGGTGGGTGGATGATGGATACATGGGTGGGAGAGGAGGGAAGACAGATGTCTCACACTGAGGGATTTTCCTCTGGTCCAGAAATAAATTAAGGCAGAATTGCCTGCAACCAGGAAGTGCTAGTTCTGGCTGCTTGAGAGCAGATGACCTTCACAGATCTGGAGCCTGAAGGCTAGGGGTTGGAGGGTGGAGGCCGTGTTGATCCGGGTCCCATAAACTTACATCAAAGTCTACTTTCTCCCCTTCCGGGATCTTAGGAGCAGTGAGTCTGAAGAAGAGAGAGGCTCGTGAGCGGGGGCAGGGGGAGACCCTACCAGGGGCCTGGCCCTTCTGCACTCCCACCTGGGCACCCAGCTGAGGACACACTGCCTGACCTTCATTCTAGTCAGATGTATAACCCACTGCCCCCATTGTGGCCTGACCCCTTTGAGAAGGTTTCAGTCTCTTCGTGTCTCTCTGTTTTACCAACATCGGGACATCGAAAGGGCCGTTTCAGCCCCGTCTGATCAGGAAGGGTACTCTCCCTTTCGTTCTCAAACAAAGAAATGCAGCGAGGCCAGGCCAGAGGCAGGCTGGTCACTGCAGGCCCCCGAGGGGTGTTGGCCTCTGTGGTCAGGAACAGCTGTCTCGACCCTTTGCGGGTCTCCGGCCCCTCTTGAATCTTTCTTTCTGGGGACCCAAAGGAAGGGGGCTGGGCAGAAAGCAGTTTGGGGAAGAAACGGGACCCCCGGATCCGGTCGGCCGTAACCCGCCATCAGCCCTGGGCCCAGCCCCCGTGCATTCCAGATGGAGCAAAGAGTTAAAACAACAACAAGGTTTTTTAAAACAAGCCACAGAAGGACGTGGAACTGAATATGGACCCAAATGCTGGAACGGGAGAGGCTTTTCTAAGCTCAGAAGCACCAGAAGGTCCCGCTAGGGGAAAGATAGCCAGACAACTCCACGCAAATGAAAAACTTATGTATGTGAAAAAAAAAAAAAGCAAAAATTGAAAGGGGAAAAAAAACCCCAGCCCAGACTAGAAAAATATTTTCAGCAAGCACAGAGAAGACTTATATCCTTGTGCAAACCGATGGCTGAGAGCACGTGGAGACGTCTCTGCCGTTAGATAAATGGGCAGGAGGCGCGCGCTGCCAAGTCTGGGGAAGAAAGGCGGCCAGTTAGCAAGCACGCGGGAAGGCGCTCCTGGAGCCATCCGAGGCGTGCGGGCCAGAGCGGCCCTGAGAGGCCCCCCTCATCCATCAGTGTCCCCGGGCGCGGCGGCAGCGTGGGGCACAGACCCGCTCACGTCCACGGCGGAGCCTGCACTGGCACGGCCCCCATGGAAAGCAATTTGGCAGCAAACGTCAAAAGCCTGAAGAACGTTCATACTCTTTGACCCAGTAATTCCAGTTCTGGGAATGTGGCCTAGGGAAATAACCCGAAAGACAGAAAATGCTTTCCACCCAGCATTATTTATGATAGTAAAATATTGGGGAAGGCCTTAATGTCCTGCAGAAGAGGAACGGTTAGAAAAATTATGGTTTGTCCAATTGATGGAATATTATGTGGCCATTCAAAATATTTAAGAAGACTATGTAAAAACACGGAAAAATACTTATGAATAGTGCTAAATTTTAAAAAAGCAGAATTGAAGTTTGTATAGACAGTATGATGTTTGAAAAACAGCTCAGAGTTTAAATCTTTTTTTCCGAGCCCTACGCACGGAAAGAGTAGGAAGAAGTAGGGCTTTTATTCCTCCCTGCGCCTTCCCGCAGTCTGGCTGGCGGGCTGGGAGAGTTATAGACGGTTTTTTTTTTTTCTTCATTGGACTTTTACGTATTTTCCAAATTTTCTTTAATGAGGTGTTTTATTTTCATAATGAAAACACAAACATTTTTTTAAAACTAGAAAATATCTGGGACCCAGCAGTGTTATTTAAAATTGCTGAGAAATAAAAGTGCAGGGGCTGGGGGCGTGCTGGCCGGACCCCTGACGCGCCGCAGTGCCCGCGGACCCCCGAGGGCGTCCCACACGGGGGGCACAGCCCCGGCGCGCTGGTGCAAGTCCAGCCGGACAGCGCGGAGCGCAGGAGGGACACTCAACTGGACCGGGGTGGGGAGTCACGCACCGTGCGCTTGCAAGTGCTCGTCGAACACAGAAAAGTCAGGATCGTCAGGTTAAAAAACAAAATCTCTGAGATGCTCACAAGTGGGTAAAACGTGGGAAAGACCCTCCAGATGAGGACGACAGTGCCCCAGAGGCCCCAGGGCCATGAAAGATGGCGGGTCCACTGGTGGTTCTGTTCTGAAGGGGCCACAGGGGCAAGACCCTCCCTCCACCCGCCTCTCAGGGCCGCCTCTCGGCTAGGGCCTGGGGGGGGGGTTCCCATAGCAGGCCGGCAGCCATGGGGGACCAGGGAGCCCCCCTCTCTCTGTCCCGTCTCCCCCAGCCCCCACCCCCCATTCTTGGTGGGCCCCCCACCTCCTCCCACAGGGAGTCCTCCTTGCCTACACTGGACAGTAAGGCACAGCCACACCCTGCTGGGCCCCCAGAGTTCATCTCTGCTCCTTGCTGGGGAAGAAGCACCCAGGTGAACTCTGCTCCCTACCTGTGGGGGAAGGCACCAGCCACCCCAAATAATCCCATTTTCATCAGGGGCTTTCGTCAGACACCTAGAGCTTTAAATACCAAATCAAGGAGCAAAGACGCGGCCACCTTCTCTCAGGGGTTTGGGGGTGTACCCTCTACAGAGCCCAAATGCGTTGTCTTCTGTGGGACCCCAGTTTCCCAGGTGACCTTGGTCCTGGTCCCCCGCCCCCCCTCAGCGTCCAGCCCTGCCCGGAGCCCACATTCACCTGGGTCTTGGCTTCTCCTCTGGTCACCACGGCGCCAGCATGGGGAGAGCGAAGAGAAACTCGGTGAGTGGGGTGGCCCCCTCCTGCCCACAGGCCCCTGGGGGCTGGGGCCTCCCGCCTGCACGCCCACCTGCTTCTCCCTCTCCAGCTGAGCCTACCAGCCATGCTCCTGTCCTACCAGCAACAGGAAAAGGTCCCTGTGGGCTCCCAGGAGGAGAGCTCAGGGCACGTGGACCAGGACGTGGCCAGGAGAGGGAATGCGGGACGAAGGAGGGATTGGAAACCAGAGACACAGAGTCCTCAGGGGCCAGGCAGGGCAGGAGGAAGGAGGAAGGAAGGTGGTCTGATGGGAGGGGGCAGAGATGGGGACTGAGGGGGAGGGGAGGATGCACCCCTTGTCCAGGCCCTTGGTCTGTAGGCCGGTCTCCACTGACCGCCCCACTTCTGTCTGGGGCAGAAGTGTGCAAGGGCTGGGCTGCAGAGCCCCGTGGCGGACGCCCTGTGGAACAGCAAGGCCTGACCCCGGGAAAAGGGAAGAAAAACAAGGCAGGTGAGGGAGAGGGGTGGGGAGCCAGGGGGTCCTCTCCATCTCAGGGTCTGTCCAGACACAGCCTGGACCCTCCCACAGCGGGCCGTGGGGCCCAGGCTGGATTGCCCCCAAGGGTGAGGGCACTCCTGACCTCCCTGCAGAGCCTTAAGCGGCTTCTCTTCCTGAGGCTGGATGGGCCCCCCAGCTCTCCCTCCACCACCTCCTGGGCCCTGCCGTGTGGCGGTCCATGTGGGCCTCCAGACCTGAGACGAGCCCCCGCCTGCCTGCATGATCCTGGCTGCCCTCATGTGGGGGTGCTTCCTCTGACCACCCCCACCCCCAGGCCTCGGAGAGGTCCTGGTTGGCCGGGTCGCAGCCTGGGGTCCACACAGCCTAGCAAGGTCTTGCCCTCAGCCCTCGGTCTCTGCTCTGGGCCCTTGGCCGATCTGAACCCAAGGAGGCCTGGCTGAGAACATGTGTTGGATCTTCTGCACTCCGTCCTCTGCCTGCGGCAGCCCGGGCAGGGGGCTGGGGGGCTGCTGCACGTGCACTGGGTGTGGCCCCCTTGGTTCCCCTTGGCTCGGGTTCCCCTGGGTGCTCAGGAGCCCGCCACATGCCCACTGACAGCACTTTGGCCACTTAGCAAGTGGGCTTGATGTCACCCTCTCCCTGCACTTTTGGGGGGGGGGGGGGCTGTGAGCATGGGGAAATGGAGCAAGAAAAAGGGGTGCTTTGGGAGCAGGAACCTGACAAAGGGGCAGAAGGAAGGCTTGGTGGGGAAGAGGGGCGCTGCTGAGGTGTGCTTGCCTTCTCTGGGGGCCGAGCTGAAGCGGTTCCCGGGTGCAGGGGTGCGTGGGGGGTGACCGAGAGCCGGAGAGGGAGCCCGTGGAAGGAGGGGCTGCGCTGCAGCACTCCTGCAGCGGTGGCCAGCGGCGGGGGCGGGGGGGCTGATGCCACCCCCACCCCCCCACCATCTGCCTGCCTTTCTGCCTCGGCCTCAGTGTGGGCTCCAGGGTGCCCTGCTGACCATGGGCCCCTACAGGCCTGCAGCCCCCTGGACGCCTCTACCTGCACGGCCGAGCGTCCGCCGCCCCACGCGGGGGCCAGCACGCCCCTTTATCGTGCAGGCGGCCTCTCTGGGGCCCAGGAAGGGAAGATACTCTCGGGCTTGTGCTCGCGGTTCAGGCCCAGCCCGGAGGCCCCCGCGGCCCCACCAAGCAGAGGGGCCAAGAGCTCCCTGACACGGGCCCCTGACTCGAACCTGCAAGTCCCCTGCCCCCGCCCAGGCACGGCCCACCCAGGGGCCTCCTCACGCCAGGGCGTGCCTGGCTGCGGCCCAGGTGGTGGGTGGGATGCGGGACCTGACTGATTGCTCCTTTGCACGCAAGGCCCCTGGCTGTTCCAGGTCGCTGCCGTAATGCCTCGAGCCTCAGCCTGACTTTCTGTTTCACCCCACTTGGCCCTCCACCCTCCCTTCAACCTCACCCCTCCTGACTCCCCCTCTGACGTGCTATCCAGGGCAGGGTGGAGGCATCTGCCCTCTCTCCTCCTCTGCTCTTCTCCACCCGGCCCTGTGCAGTCCAGAGGGTCATAGTGGACCTCAGCACCCTCCTCCCAAGGCCAGCACCCTCTCGGGCCATGGGCTCAGCACTCGGTCTTGGGGCTGGCCACGCCCACCTTCCTGCTGGTGGCCCCAGAAGGGCCTCATCCCCACACCCCTGAGGGGTGTGCGCCAAGGGGCCAGGAGGAAGCCTGCACCCAGACCCAACTTTCCCACCGTGTCCCCAGCCTGTGGGAAGGTGGTGGGAGTCAGGCAGGGAGCGAGGCCGGGGCGGGGGGGGATGTGCGGGGATGTGCGTGGGGGCGGGGACGTACCTTCTTGGACCTCCTCTGCAGAACAGCACAGTGGGCGGGGGGAGAGAGAAAATCAGCCGTGAGCCTGGGCAGAGGCTGGGGGCAGGGGTGGTGGGAAGGGGCAGAGATGGCGGGGTCTGAGCAGAACCACACTGTGAGTAGGTTACACGGGGCCCCTCTTGTTCCTGCGTGGCCTGGGTGCCGGCTCACAGCCACACGTGGTCACGCGTGTGCACGGGCACCCACACGGGACTGAAGTCATGGCACATACCTGGTTCATGGACTTCATGGGGGAGGGAGGGCCACGGAACAAGAGGTCAAAGGAGGAAGGACCCGAGGTTAATGGAAACACCGGTCGCCATTCGGGAGGGTCAGTGGCCGAGGATAAGGAGCGGGAAGCCAGTGAGACGTGGTGCGCGTTGGCGGGCACCGCCACCCCCAGGTCCCGTCCCCGCCTCGCTGACCTGACAGGGAACTGGGGCTCAAGGGTGGACTTGTGGGGTGCATGGGGTCCCCACCCGTCCTCCACCCCCCAGGAGGGACTGGCAGGGGCTGACAGGCTCCGGCTGTGGCCTGGTACGGGGACACCGGAACCGGCAGGGCAGGGCCCACAGCCCAGGGGAGCAGGCCCAGAGGGCACCCCACTTCCTGCCCCCACTGCCCTTCTTGTCCCGGCCTCCGAGGGCACACTGACATGGGCACCCGCCTTGGCTGCTCTGCCCACTGATCAGAGCGCAGGCTCCCCAAACCTCTCATTGTCCCCCCGGGATCCCGAGGAGGGGCCCACGGGGCAGGTCTTGGGGACATGGCCAGGGAACGTCCCTGCTGGGGGCTGGTGGGCTGTTTCTCCCTCACCCCATGCTCACCCGCCATCTGGCCTGGGGCCCTGACCTGGTCAAGGGGTCAGATTTGGCCGCGGGCTCTCAGTTCCCCACGCTGGGCCGGAGGCCGAGTTTCAGGGCTGGCAAGGCCAGGCCGGTCCAGCAGTCCGCCCACCGACCCAGTCTCCCTGTGTTGGGGGCATGAGTCCCATCTGCCGCTCAGTCTGAGTCAGGGGAGTGCCGGGCCCCCACTCTGGTCAAGCATTGGCCACGGTTAGTGGGTGATGTTAGGGCCACATGTGGGAGTCCTTTGCTGGCTGGCACCTCGCTGCCTCCCTGCCCTCTCCCCCACCCTGCGTGGGCTCCAGCCAGGCCCTGGGCCCCACATGGGGACCAGAAGTCCTGTGTCCTCATACCTTCTTCATGGACTTCTGCAGGTGGAGGAGCACCAGGTGTGCAGGCGGCAGGAGGAGAGAGGAGAGGTTAGGCCAGGAGCACACAGCACGTCCTTAGGGGGTGGGGGCACACTGGGGGAGGGGCGCAGAGCGCTAAGGGTACTTGTGGGGGCCGGGGCCCTGGAGCCCGCTTACCTTCCTCCTGGGCCTCTTCTGAGGTGGGAGCACCGGGAGGGAGAGAGGAAACAAGGACAGTCATTTAGGGGTGCACTCGGGGTGGCAGGGAAGGAGGCCAGTCCCCCAGGAGAAGGGGTAACTGGCCCTCAGAGCCAGAGGTGGGGAGCCCTGGAGACCTGGGCCTACACCCTGCCTCTGTCCTGTGACCACCCCTGGGACCCCAGGGTCCGGCTTCTTGCTCCCTCCTTGGGGCCTAGGCCCCCCAGATGGGCCTTGGGACCCGCCGCCTGCCTGCCCGCCCCAGCATGGGTGTGTCTTCGCGGGAGCACCCCTGCTCCACGGGTGACGGAAGTGAGGACAGGGGACGAAATCCACTGTAGTAAGAAACGCCCGGGAGGGTCCAGGCGGGCGACGCGGTCTCTGCGCATGCCCGAGGTGACGTGGACACTGAGGGTCTTGGAGGAAACGGGGGCAGGAGACCCTTCCTGTCCGCCACGTGGCCTTCCCTGGGGAAGGGGCAGCTCCCCAGGACCACATGGCCTGTTCAGAAGTGTGTCTTTCCACCTTTTCAGCACAAAAAAAAAGAAATGTTTTGCTCACGTTGTTAGGGTAGCCAAGTGTTTTCAAAATATTTCCAAAACACAGCACCCAGCATGCCTCACAGCTGGGCCCTGCCTGGTGAAGTGGCGTGAACGCTTCCCCGGGCCTGAGCGCGTGCCAGGGATTTCGGAAGAGCACCCACCCACCCGGGCTTGAGAGCCGCCTCTCCGCGCGGTTCCCAGGTGCGGCAGCTCCCCTGCGCCCCACACCTGCCCAGGCACGACCGGGAGACTCCCACAGACGCCAGGCCGCGCGAGGGAGGGGTCTCCAGATGAGCCCGGAGGTTATGGCCGCAAGGTGGGGATGCTGGGAGACGCGGGGACACAGAGACAGGGGAGGGAGAGACAAGCGGGGTCCACACGGCCAGCCCTTGATATTAATGAGGGTGAGTCGTAAAGCACACGTCAGGTCTGTCCACACGGCACCACCAGGATGGGTATAACGAACGATTAACGAGTGTGTGCCTATTAGTGGATGAAGATGTGGGAGATTAGAGGTGACAGCAAGTGGTCATTAGTGATGAGGAGGACGGGCTCTGGGAGTCCGAGAAGCCCAGTGGGGGTGAGGCCGCGTCCCGAGCCGAGCGGGGCGGCCTGGGTCGGGGGTGGGGGCATGTGGGGCCGCCAGGATTACCTTCTTCCTCGTACTGCTCTGCAACGGGGTAGAACACGGGAACCGTGTTAGCGGGCTGCCCTGGGAGCCAGCTGCCCCACCCCGAACCACTGAGGAGGGGGCCTGGGGGGCTTGGGCTCTGGATACCCCGGGAATCCTGCCGGGGCAGGGGACGGGGGGCCCAAGTCCCCCTGGGAGAGCGTGGCGAGGCCGCCAGCCCTGGAGGCCCTGGCCTGAACGCTGCCCTGGACAGCTCTGCAGGGCCCACTGGGTGTACAGGGGCAGGGTTCAAACGTGACCACATCTCGGGATGTGTCCTGGGAGGAAGAGGGGGCCCCGAGCGCAGGGGCAGGAGTGGGGAGCCCATGTTCAGAGGGGGTCGGTCTAGCGCCCACCGCAGCCAACGTGGCAAAACTCGGGCTTCCCACCAGGGCTTCCCGAGGAGAACCGTGCTGTCGACAGCCATATGGGCCTGTCTCACGTGTGACTTGTCCCTGAGGGTGGACGCAGAGGGAGAATCATTTGACACTTACCATCGACCTGTTCACTGTTGGGGCCGGGGGTGGGGGGCAGAGAGAGAGAGAGAGAGAGAGAGAGAGAAGGGGTGAGCTGGGCTTTCACCCCGTGTCTCCTAAGAGCGCGGGTCCTCTGGCCTCTGCACACAGCCCAGGTTCAGGGGGCCCGCGCAGGGCGGGTGGCTCCTGGGACTGGTACTCACACTTCCTCGTCCGACATGGTGGTGGGACTGTTTCTGTGGGGGAAGGAACGCGACCAGAGTCAGAATGGCCTTGGTCTAGAAGTGCTGGAAGGGGTGAGCGTTGGGCTCCTAGGGCTGGGGGTGTGAGGGGACATCCAAGGACAGGGTGGAGGCCAGCTCCCGGCCTGGGACGGGCCTCCTCCGCAGCAACCCCACCCCCCAGCCCTCCTTGCTGGACTCTGATCCCTCCCCGCCCCCCTTCCTGCCCTGGCTCCAGCCTGGAGCTTGGAATCTTGGGGCTGGACGGGATGTTGGAAGGTCGTGGTGTCCACCCCCACCCAGGGCAGACACCCTCTCTATAGCATTCCCCGAGGAGGGTCATCCAGAATGCATGGTGCTTGTCCAGACTATTTTGGACAGCAGAGAAGCCCTGCTGATGTGGCTCGAAACCTGCTTCTTGATGGTCTCTGCCTTTGGGCTGAGGTGGTTTGGGGTTCGCTGGGAGCCCCTAGGTGACAGAGCCCCCCTCCCCCAGTGGGCGTGCGGGAGCTTCCTGGGTCTTCATGCCTCACCCTCCCCGTGACAACCCCTCCCGGTGTGAACCCAGAGCTCCCTTCCCCAAGTGACAGTTTCCTGCAGGGACCCCACATTCTCCTGTGGGGGTGCCCTGGGAGTCCCCCACAGCCCCTGTGCAGCCCCCTCTCCCAAAACCACAAGGGTGCATGAGCCATTCTCCTTGTCTTCCCCCACCCCCAACCCCCCCCCCCACAGAGCAGACTGGGGCCCGAGCTCATGGGGCCGGGGTCTGGGCTGTTTCTCTGCACGTCCCCCAGCCGGGGCCCTGAGCAAGAACTGAGCGGACAGCCCCATCCGGCCGGCCCCTCTCAGCCTGCTTTCCCAGGCCCCGTGGATGCTCTTGAATTTGTCAACGTCTGCAGAGAAGCTCTGTGCTCGGGCCCGGCCGCACGTGTGCAGGTGCGGCCGGCGCCCGGCCAGCACGCTCGGGGACACTCGTTCCGTGAGCTGGCCACTGCACATGCCTGAGGGGCCCGGGGCTTAACACATGGCGTTCAGGACAACATATTGCAGCTTAGTGGAAGATAGTAGTTGTGCCCCACCCCCCCCCAGCCCCGGGAGCTTCGTATAAGAACACAAGCTCATCATCTAAAGATGCATGTACATCACATCACCAAGGTGGGAACGGCTTTCTGAAGCCTCTGTCCAGAATGTTAATTTTCCCAGAGCAGTTTAAGCTCCATGCAAAATTAACCCCCAGATCTCTGCTCCCCCACCCCAGCCCAAGAAACGGCTCTTTCCTGAAAGAGGACTCTGCTGCCCCCTCAAGTTAGAGCCTCCCGCCTGTGTGCAGCTGGGGGTCTCAGCCTCCTGGTGGGCCACTCTCCAGGGTGGGAGGGTCAGTGAGAGCCCGGGGCCCCCCTCGACCCTGGCAGGGCCCTACACCTGTCAGCAGCTTCAAGAGGGGGCGGTTGTGGCCTGAGCCCAGTGCCTGGTTATTTTTAAGAAGACAGTGGCAGCTGAGGTGTCCAGAAATAGGCACCCAAATTAGCCAAGACACCTCTGCCCAGAAACCCAAGACGCGGGGAGGGGGGTTGTGAGGGGAGCCGCCGGCTCAGGTCTCCTCCTGGCCAGCTCCCCACCCCCCCGGCCCCCACAGGTGTCCCAGGCCTGCCAGAGCTCCTGCATCTTGCTCTCCCGTCTTCTGGGCTGGAGTCCAAGGGGGGCACCAGGAGGACCCCCGTATCCCCAGGCAGGGTGCCTGGAAGCCCCTTTCGTGAGTCAGGGCAGCAAAACCTCACCGACGTGGGGGAAGCTTCTCCAGAATCCTGCCCCTCCGCCCAGTGGAGCCCCGAAGGCTACACCCCAGGGCGGCTCTGTGCCCCCAGCTGTCTGTCTGTGGGGAGGGGCCAAGGTGGGGTGTGCTGGAGGGCAGGGGGCGGCATTTCGACAGCCGGGAAGGAAGTCAGTTGTCCATTTCGTGCTCTGCCCTCAGTGTGGAGTGGGGGAGGGAGGTAGAGTGAAAATAGCTCCTGAGGTCAGAGCTCCTTGGAGATGTACACCCTCCTTCCCTCCTTCCCAGGTGACAAGATGGGGTGGGGAGGGTGGGAGGCCCTGCCCCCACCGGCTGGGGGCCCCGGGCTGCGTCACCCGGCACAGCCTCAGCCCCCGTCCTGCCCTGCAGGGGCTCCTTGCCCGGGTCCCCCCCCGCCCCCCGCCATGATGGGATGGCCAAGGGCCCGCAGAAGGAGCCGGCAGGGGAGGCGCCGGGAGGGCGGGAAGGGCAAGGAGCGTGGGCGGGGCCTCTGGGGCGCAAGTGCTCCTCCTCCATGGCTAGAGGTGGGGGACAGATCCCAGGTCCCCACTCCACCCCCGGCCTGGCCCTGTTTGCTCCTGTCCTTGACCTCTGGGAGCTGTCCCCGAGGCCCCCCAGCCGCCTCTCCCCATGGAACCGCTCCTGGGGTGAATTACACGAGACGCCTCATGTTTGGCTCTCCAAATGGTTGGAGGCTATGACCACTTGAGGCCAAGAGCCCCCCGCTTCTGAGGGGAGCTGGCCTCGGGCCCTGAGCTTACTGGAGCCCCATGGAAAGGCCCAGATGGCCCCGGGGGCGAGCCAGGACCCTGCGCCGGGTGGCCCTCTGAGCTGTGGGCCGTGTCCTTCCTGGGCTCTTCATCTTGACCCCTGGGCCCCCCTCCAGCCCTCCACCCTGCTTCCCTGCAGGGAGCCCCCACCTGCCTCCTCAGGCCTCCCCGGCTGCTGGGCTGTGGTTTGGAATGGCTATTCCCCATGTTCAGGTTGGAGAGCATCACCCTCCATGCCAGCACCCTTGGGACCTGGGGGTGGCTCCGTGGGTTCTCCAAGCTGCCGTGCTCAGAGCTGAGACATGTGGGAACATGGCTTCCTGGACCCTCAGCAGCCCGGGACCCCAGATGCGCCTCGAATGGCGGGCCGGCCCTGCCCAGCCCTGGGCCATACCAACCTGTGGCTGAGTCTGGAGAGACGGGCTGGAGCTCCCTGTGGACAGGACCGGCTCAGGCAGTGCCCGCTCCGCTCACGAACTCATGTTATAGTGACACTTGATCTTGCCCAGCAGCCCATTGGCCAGGGGCTGGGTGGCCGGGCGCGTGGGGCAGGCGGGAGGGGGCTGTGCCCATGCAGGCCCCTCACCAAGTATAGGAACAGCCGAGGAGGAGGCCTGAGGAGGCGAGGATGGGGGGGACGTGTGTGGAGAAGGAGATGAGGAAGAGTCAGCTTCTATTTTTACCACCCTCCCCCGCCTCCGCCGAGAGAGGGCACATTCCTGACGGGCTGAGGAGGGCTGACAGGACCGACTGGGTGGCCCGGGGGATGCAGCCCAAGGCTCTCTGTGGGCCGGGCTGCTGGGGGGGCCCCTGCCTGGGGCCCCGACTCCCCTAGCCCAGCCGCCCGCCCTGCGCGGTGTCTGGGGCGCGCGTCCTTTGCCGCAGGCCCACCTGCCTCCTCAGTCACAGCACGTGGCCCGAGGTCCCGGAGCCCTCCGTGGAGTGGAGGGCTCTGTGAGTCCCCGGCCAGGTGTCTGTCACGTCTGAGCCCTGCTTAGTGACCAGACCTGGGGCCTACGGGCCAGGCGGGCCAGAGGAGTAACAGCCCAAGCAGGATCTTGAGTGCTAAGGGTCCTCATCGACCCCAGTGCCTGCCCCCCCAAGGCCAGGGCTGCACCTCTGCCATCAGCCTGGGAGCTCCCCGTCTGGGGGTCCAGATCCTGGAGACCTCTCCCCCCTCTCTGCCGGTGGAGCCTGGCCCTTCTGCCCGCGGGACTCCAGGTGATACCATCCACCCGGCAGACATCTTGCCCAGGCCTCTGATGGTCCCCTTGCTTGCCTCTCGGATTAGGGAAACCGAGACTCAGAGAGGGGCCAGAGCTGTTGGGCACCTCTTTCCAGACCCGAGGACTCCAGGCAAGGGGCTGCCGAGCACGGGTGGTGGGGTCTGTGGGACGGCTTGGCCCGGGGCAACAGCTGGTGGGCCAGCACACAGGACAGGGGTGAGCCCTGCGGAGACGCAGAAGATGAGGCCCCTGCCCTCTGGAGGCTCCGAGTGAGGGACGACAGCGTGACTGGCAGGAGACTCACACGCCCTAGCCCCAGCTCCACGCGGCTCCGTGCCTGCTCTGGGTCCTCAGAGGCGTCTGGAAGGGTCCCACAGGCACCCCATTCAGTCCCTCCATGTTGGAGATAAGGTCACAGGGACCCAAGACAGGAGACGCATGCCCATAGCCACACAGTGAGGGGACAGAGACCCTCGCCTGCCCGCCTCCCCGAGGCCCGAGCTGCTGGGGATGGCCCTGCCCTCCTGTCTGAAAGTTGTTCCCTCCAGCGGTCCGGGTCCTCGGATGGGCAAGGGCTTGGCGGGCCACGTGCCGCTGACCCTTGGCCAACTCTGCCCAGTGAGATCACCTGAAGAATCCCTTCCAGGGAAGGTCCCCGAGGAGCTCCTGGGGGCCCGCCATGCCTCCTCCCCATGGTGGGGCTTCTTGCTCTGCTCACAAAGACCTGAGGACACCCCCCAACATACATACACAGACAGATGGGGGCACATATGTGGGGACAGCACATTTGGGAGCATTTGGCCTCGTCAGTAGGCCGTGCTGGAGTCTGGCCTGGGAAGCCCCGTGCAAGCCCAGCCCCGCTCAGACGGCGGGTGGCCCGCTCCCGGGAGCTGCCGGCTGCCCCTTGCTCAGGCCAGGTCATTCTTAGGAGCTGCACCTGCAGATGGGCATGCCACAGGCCCTGCAGTGGCCCTGCTCGGCCAGCAGAGGAGGGTGGCTGCCCGCTCAGCGGCCTTGGCCTCTGGCAGGTGCTCTCCCTTGAATGGGCCGAGCCAGAGAGCGGGCGCTGAGGTCAGAGGAATCGCACAGGTTTTATTTTGGGTATCCATGACCTCCTTCTCGGGGCACCAGGCCCGTGATGCAGTGGGACAGTATTGCGCCGGCACTGCTGGACAGGCCGCAGGCCTCCGAGAGCCTTCAACAGGTAATCCACACCCCAGTCCACCTGGCCTGGCCCGGCCCGGGTGGGAGGAGAGGGCAGGGCAGGAGCCTGCCCTGGGGGCCGGAGGAGGTCTGGGGACCTGGGGTGGAGACAAGGGATAGGGGTGGCCCAGCCCTGGTTGGGGCGGAGGACTGATCTCAACCCCAGAAAGGAGTTGGCTAGGGGGACCTCATGGAGAGTGCAGCCCAGGGACGGTGGAGGGTGGGCTTCTAAAGCCGGCAAAGCTGAGCGAGGCCACAGAGTACGGGGAAAGCCGTGAGAGGGAGAGGAGGCCCCCCCAAAGATCTTGACTCCATCTGTCTTCAGGGGTGACCCCAGCGGTGGCGGGGAGAGCAGGCTCCCCCCAGTCTGGGTTCTGGCCCCAGTTTGCATGGATGGGGGTGGTGGGGCCCCAAGGGACCTTGAACGGGTCCTGGGTGCCCACACTGGTGCCAGCCCCACAGGCTTGGGCTCTGCCAGGCCCCAGATAGAAGCTGCTGACACAGCACTTTGGGGACAATCCTTCCCCAGCCCTGTGCATCTGCCACACCACACGCCGTGGGTGCTTCTGCACCATGGTAGCTCACTGGTTTGCTCCTGCGGCGGGGGGGCATTCGGTGCCTGGGACAGGGGAGCTATGGGGTAGCTGGGGATCTCAGGCAGGCAGCACAGAGCAGGGGTCAGTGCTTGAGCATCCCAGGCCAGGTACCCCTCGGGCAGTGGCCCTTCTGGTCCTCTGGACCCTTTAGGTGGGCAGGCCCTGGCTCAAAGGCTCCGAGGGGTGGAGGCTTGACATCATGGCAGCAGTGGGGTCAGTGGCTCTCAGAGGAGTCAAACCCTGGGTCCTCATCCCCGAGGCTGGCCTGGGGTGCTGAGTATCCTGAGAGGGGCCCCCGTGGGTCAGGGCAGCCTGGGTGGCTGCCTGCCTGGCACCGTCCACCCCATCTGCCTCACATCCCGCAGTGCCATCCACTCTGGTTCCCGGCTCACTGCCCAGCCATGGACACCATGGCCACCTCTGCGGCTGCCCTTGGCAGATGTCCCATCCGGGCTGGGTGGGAAGGGAGAGAGCGGTATGTGCCCTGGGAGATGCTCCCCAGCTGGTGGAGCATGGCCCTGGGTGCAGTCTCCGGGGTGGGCCGCGGATGAGAAGAGATGGCTGTGGCTTCGTGGAGTTTTAACAGTCCTGACTTGTCCATATTTACTCTATCCTCGGGGAAGCAGGCAGACTGTGACCCTGAAGACTTCAAAAAACGTACATTCTGAGCAGAGCCAGGCCTAGAATGCCAGAGGTGCAGCGGTCCTGCTCTTCGAAGGGGTTCCCCAGACGATGAGGCCATCCGGGCTCAGGGCTGGGAAGCACGGTCATGCTCTCCCCCTTCACACTCTGGTCCACTCCCCCCCCCGCCCACCCGCCCATTTGTTCCCATACGTCCATTCTCATAGTCACTAGCTTCTTTCTTTCCTCCCTTCCACTGTCCACCCAACCAGCGTCCAGCCATCCACCAGCACACCCACCCACCCAGCCACCTAGCCACCCACTGTCCGGTGCACACTGATCCAACTGCCTCTCCACCTCTTCTCCCATCTACTGTTCTCACAATGATTTTTCTGTCCATCTACCTTCTGTACATCCACCCATGTACCCATCCATCTATTCTTTATCTACCCATCCATCCATTACCCAAGATTCATCCACCCATATTTCTATTTATACATCAATCCATCTATCCATCCATCTCTCCAGCCCTTCACCCATCCACCCATCTATCTACCCACCCTCCCATCTATTATCCATCCATCCACCCACCCAACCACTTACCCACTCTTCCATCCATCCCTCCACCCCTCCCTTCACTAATCATCCATCATCTATATCTGTCCATCCACCCTTCCATCTATCATCCCTCCGCCCATCCACCTACCCACCCTTCCACCCATCCATCCATCCACCCATCCGTCTCCACCCACCCATCGTCCATCATCTACATCTGTCCATCTGCCAAATCTTCACTGAGTATCTCCCAGGTGCTAGGATGGGGGATAAGCCCAAGGGGGTGTGTTGTTTTCAGGGGGTGGCACAGTCTAGGGTTAAAGACCAGAAAAGCACACTGTTTCAAGGGCAGTAAAGTTTAATCAGGCCATTCAAGGGGAGGGTAGCATCACAGATGTTCTGGAAGAAGACCGGACCTCACCCGTCAACTGCACCCCAACTTAAGCCACCATACACCTCAGATTGCAGAGTCTAACACTGCAGAAGGCCATGGGACCGAACGCTATCTGATTCTGGAGGCCAGAGACCTGGCTGCTACCACTGTCCAGTGTGGGTAGGGAGGGATTTCCAACTGGGTTGGCACTGCTCCCTTGTTGCTCCCCCAGTTAGTGAACACAGAACGAGAATTTGGAACATACGAGGAGCTTTATTGCACTAGAAGGAGGAGGCTGCAAGCAGGGGTTGGAGGGGGGCGGGGCAGGGTCTGAGAACGTGGTGCAGGATTCACTGTCTCTTGATCTGGAGGTTCCCCAGCAGGTGTTCTCTCTCTGCCCGGCCTGGGCCTTCCTTGGGAAGCCTTGGCCTCTGTGGGGGTGGCCCCTTGGGTCAATCACCAGTGACAGTCCCTTTCCTGCCCCTGCCATGAGAGGCAGAGTGGGGGGTCAGAGAGTGGGAGGGGAGAGAGGTCAAGGGGGTCGAGGAGCAGAGAGGTGGCGATTGTGCTGGATGATGGAGGGGTGCGGGCAGGCCAAGCAGGTCATGGCAGTGGCTCCCATGGCAGGGCCAGGGTGGGCATCAGGCTGGACTCTCCCCCTCGAGCGTGGAGGTTGCTGCCAGAGGCACCCGTAGTCTCAGGAGAGCTGAAACACAGGCGTGGGTGGGAGCATGAGGCTGCGGTCTGGGGAGGGGCTACCTGCCCTGCCCTCCGTGCTTCCAGTCTGTCTCCGAAGGCCACCCTCGCCCTACCTACACTCCCCCCTCCCCCCAGGGGCAGCCTCCCTGTTCCAGCCATCGAAACCCTGTGTCTGCTTCCACGGTGGAAGCCTGCTTTCCCGACGCTGGGCCCCGGGGCCGTGGGCCTTTGCATGACTCCTGGTGGAGGGGTTTCTGCCCATTGCCTGCTTGCCTGCTAGCCTGGCAGCCCCAGAGCTAGACCTGGCATTCCCGTGGTTCCTGGGGTCCTGGGCCCCCAGAAGCAGGCACAGCCAAGAGTGAGCCCCGGGCAGACCCCTCAGGCCCCTCCCCAGGCAGATCCACTCCTGCCTGACAGAGCCAGCCTCCACAGGGCAGCAGCTCCAGGCCTCCTTCCTCCCACAAACCGGCCGGCCTCTGGCTTGGCCCAGACGCCATTTGTCAAAGTCCTTGCAAGCACGTGGCGCCCAGAAACCAGGGCGGGCGGCTTGGCCAGGACCACCCCAGCCAGGATGTCTGCGGGAATATCCCATTTAGCGTAGCTCAGCGAAAATTGCTCCCACCTCCCGGCCAATCTACCTCTGATGATGCAGCCTCAGCTTTCCTGAGCCTCTGGCCGCCACCCTTACCGCTGGCTCACAGTGGACGAGCCTGTGGTCAGACTGGCGACGGCACGGCGCCCCTCACGCGTCTGCGGGCAGGCGCTCTTCCTGCCCTGGTGGGCCGCTGGCCCAGCACGTGCCTCCCCCTTGGAGCTTGCCCACGGGTCTCACGGCCCAGGCTGTGCACCCGGGTGGCACCCTCGTCCATCACCCACTGAGGGGCTCAGGCCTGGGTGGACTCCTTTCTAAGCCAGCCAGAGGTGGAGCCACCCTGCCGAGTTGCTGTACAGACAGATTTGCCAGGGACGCACCTGGCAGGTGCCAAGTGCTCGGGAAGCAGAGCTTCTGATGGTCAGGTGGTGACCCCTTGGCCTCAGGTCCTCCCACATGATGGGGAAACCACGTGCCCCTGCGGGAGGAGTGCTGGCAGGGCTGAGAGCTAACCTGATGGCTGTCCCTCTCCTCCCCAGGGTGCGACAATGCTCATCGTGGCTGGCCTGTGCCCCCAGGGGCCCTCTGGACCCCCACCGCCCCTGCTGCCCAAGCCAGGGAAGGACAACGTGCGTCTGCAGAAACTTCTGAGGAAGGCCGCCCGGAAGAAGATGACAGGGCCGCCTGTGCCACTGGGGGCTTTCCGCACTTCCCTGTCCCCTGTGAGCGAGGCCAGCCATGACCAGGAGCCCACGGTCCTGCGCCCAGCGGAGGCCCCACGCTCCACGGAGGCCCCGCGTCCCGCGGAGGCCCCGCGCCCTGTGGCCGCCCTGTCCCACTCCCCCCACAGCTCCATCATCCACCACGTGGCACCACCCCTGCAGAAGTCCATATTCCCCTTCAGCTTCACCCAGCGCAGGAGCCTGGCCGCTCACTTCAAGGCCACAGGGCCCCAGCTCACGACCCCGGCCCCAGACCCCGCCCGGTCCCCCAGTGGCTTCACACAGGTCTCAGCCCCCACAGCAGGGGTCACCCACGTCAGCCAGGTGCACATCCGGCTAGTGCCACCCCCACAGGCCAGGACCCCTGAGCCCCTCCAGACGGCCCCAGATGGGGGACCCGGGAGGCAGGACCAAGACACAGCCCTGTGCCCTCCTGGGGCCCAGCCCCTGGTTCCCATGGCCCACGTCCGCTCACTGCCCACTGAGGCCCAGGCTGCCAGTCCCTGGCCTGAGGCACCCCCTGTGCCCAGGCCGCTCCCAGGCTCTGAGGTCTCAGTGCCCAGAGAGGCCAGCACTCAGGTTGTGGTGCCCATCGCCTCCACCTACTGCTCACCGGCACCCTCGCCTCACAGGCCAGCCTCTGAGGGCCCTGAAGCTGAGCCCTTGGAGGAGCCCCCTGTGTCTGGCCCTGCCACTGCGGCTGAACTGGTCTCCAGACCCTGTGGAGCCCCATCCCCTGCCCCACTCTCAGGTCCACACCCATGCCTTGTCCCCAGAGTTGCACCCAAGCCCCAGCTCAGTGGCTGGACGCGCCTCAAGAAGCAGCTGATGGAGGAGGCAGAAGCGTCCCCATTCCCGGGACCAGAGCAGAGCCCAGAGCGCGGGGAGCAGGAGGTGACAGCCCCCGTGGGCCCAGTGTCCCGGCCCCCAGCCTCCCGGGCCTCCAGGATGTGGAATGCTGTGCTGTATCGCATGTCAGTGGCCAAGTCCCAAAGCGGCCCGGCCGGGCCCAGGGACGGGGCTTGTACCCTGGCTGGCCTGAGCAGCTTGCCCTTCCTGTGCAGGCCACGATTCAACGCTCGGAAGCTGCAGGAGGCAGCCACCCGGCCCCCTCCCACAGTCCACTCCTCTGTCCTGGACCTGAACCCCAAGCCCAAGAACTTCAACCGGACGGCGGCCGGCTGGAGGCTCCAGTGAATGGCCTGGACGGCACCGGGGCCCAGGACCACGGTGTGGACAGAGGAGGGACAGGGGGTCCATCTGGGAGGCCACGGCCGCTGAAGAGGACACCAGGGCCAGGCGGATGCTGGGCGGCCAGGAGGGGCCGGGTTGGGTGGGCGGCAGCTTGAAGGACTGCGGTGGGGGCGGGGATGAGGCCGGGGGCAGGTGGGGCGGGGGAGGAGGCCGATTCCAGAGGAGGGGCCTGCACGGGGGTAGAATGTGGAGGTTGACGGGGCAAAGGATTGCGTGGGAAGGAGAGCACACACCACAGCTATGGAGGGGGGCGGGTGAGTCCACCTCGCACGGGCCGGCCCTCGGCCTGGGACCCAGGGCAAAGAGGTGCAGCGGTGCACCGGGGCTCCTGAGGGGCTGCAGGCAGGCAGGGAGGGCCTCTGAGCATGACATGAACTCTGAGGCTCGACAGGGTGGGGAGGACGCTGGGGCTGTAGGCTCTGCGGTGCCCCCCCGGCCCCCGCCCGCCGTGAAAGACTGGGGACAGACTTATGCTGGCTGTGCAGGGTGGTTCGGTGGTCGGTCGGCACCCGTAGCTACCTCAGTGGTTTGACTGACATTTCGGGGAGCCGGACCCCATGCCTCGTCCCTTTTCTTGCTCACCTCAGTTTCTCTCACCCAGGGGGCAAAGCATGACAGGGGCGCGCTGCCAGGAGATAGGGGGAGGGTCTCACCATCAGTCGGGACCCAGCTTCAGTGGCTAGGTGAGGAGGGTGTCCTCAGTCCTGGGGCAGGAGGGGCGCCCAGCGGAGGGGGTGAGGGAGGGAAGGGCACCCCAGGCCTCACGCAGCTCTGGGGCCCCCAGTCTGCAGTCAGCTGGGGTCTGACCCAGGGGGAGGGCCAGGGCTCTGATGGGGTCAGCAGCGATGGGACAGGGACATGGCGATGCCGGGGAGCAGGCACCTTCTCCGGAGGGAGAAGAGGCCAGCAGGCGGCCAGCTGCGTCACCCAAGGCGTAATGGGTGCTGGAAGTGGACCCTGGGACCCAGGCTACTAATAAAGTGTGTCTAACTGCGGCAGCGGACCATGTTCCTTCACCTGTGATGGGCAGGGTGGTGGGGACTGGAGCGGACCCCTGATGGGAGCGCGAGACCAAGGCTCTGGCCCCTCGAAGACACAGACCCAAGCTCCCAGGACCCCTCCCCGTCCACTTCCTCTGACGCTAGTCCTGCAGTGGTCAGGATGAGCTCACCCGCCTCCCAGAAGGAGGTTCGAGCTGCCTTGCACAGTAGAGCCGTATAAAGCTGAAGCCAGCCGTGGGAGAAAAGCAGTCGCACGCGGTGTAAGAAGGGGCTTGTTCAGGGGAGTCTGTAGGGCAGGGAGACCGAGCCAAGCCTAGGTTGCGGCCAGCTCCGAGGCCGCCCTGGCAGCCTGTAACAAGCAGGCCCTGTCCACGCCACCACATTCCCACCACATGACGCCTCATGCTCGGGCCACTGCCCTGGACTCACCAGGAAGGGCTGCCTAGGGCCCCGAGCCCTCGTCCACGAGCACCTTCTCATACTTCCCATGTCCGGTGGCCACGAACTTGTACCTCTTTCCAGATGGGGTGCTCTGCTGGGGAAGGAGACCAAGAGCAAAGGTGAGAGCAGGCGATGCTGCCTCTGAGGAGCCCTCCCAGATGCACTGAGGACGGCCCCTCTTTGCTCTCAACTGCTGGACCTGCCCCTTTACATCAACCACATTTACACCCTACCTTAACTGTCGATGATGTCTTGGAGCCTCCTTTCTGCTCCCAGAGGCTTTTCTTGCTCATGTCTCCAGCCACAATATCCTGGGGGCAGAGGAAGGACATGTTACGGGTGTAGACCCTCGACTATGGAGGATTCGAAGTGCTGGTCCTCTCCCTCCTGCCTGGGCTTTCCTGACCGGGGCCTAGGCCTGCCCACCTGCTTCCTTATGTGAGAGCCCAGGGGAGGAGGTAGGAAAGGGAAGGTGGCACCATCTGCCTGCCCTGGGCCAACCAGTTGCCCCATATGACCTTCCACTCTGGGGGCCAGCGTGGTGAATGCCACCCCCCAAATGTCCCAGTGCTCTGTCTACCCACACTTCAGCCTGGACGGTCTCATACTTGTCTTAGCAAGGGAACCCCGACTCACCCTGGGATGAATCCTACCTTGCAGGAGGGGGCCTTGGCAGTGGACTGAGCCTGCACCTCTCCTGTCTCCCACCGGCTCTTGGTGCTTGCCACGGCCATGCTGGGCAGCTCAATGGAGGGCTGGCGGGTTAGCTTGGAGGTCCGGCCAGCAGTCTGCAGAGGAGAAAGAGCCCACTTTAGTGAACAGCCACATGGGACATGTTAGAGAGGCCAGTGGGAGACCCTCCAACACATAGACGATTTCCTCTATATCTCTGTATTTCCATAGGAGTGCTTTCCCAGTGAAGGGCTAGAGCAGGGCACTCTGAAAAAAACGCATGTTCCTCCATTTGGAGTACTTGTGAAACATTCTTTTAATCCGAAAAGCACAGGTGACATGGTGGGGTTAGAGACAGATATGGTGCTGTCATGCTGCTCACGGCACAGGGCTGGAGGAGCATGGGTAGAATGGAGGGGTGTAGGTTGGAGAGAGGGGTATTAGGAGGATGGAGGGGTTTTGGCTGCATGGAGGAATGTAGGTTGGAATAAGTAGTGGTTGGATGGAGGGGTGATTGATGGATATAAGAATATAGGTTAGGGCACTTGGGTGGCTCAGTGAGTTAAGCATCTGCCTTTGGCTCAGGTCATGGTCTCAGAATCCTGAGGGCACTTGGGTGGCTCAGTGAGTTAAGCATCTGTCTTGGGCTCAGGTCATGGTCTCAGAATCCTGAGATCGAGTCCTGCGTCGGGCTCCCTGCTCAGCGGGGAGTCTGTTTCTCCTTCTCCCTCTGCCCCTCCCCCCACTCATGTGGTCGCTCTCTCTCGCTCTCTCCCAAATAAATCAATAAAGTCTTTTTAAAAAAAGAATATAGGTGAGATGAGAGGGTGTTGGCTGAATGGAGGGGTGTAGGTTTGAATGAGTGGTGGTTGGCTGGAGGAGTGTTGTTTGTAAGGAAGGACACTTGTAGGATGGAGGAGCATTGGTTAGATAGAGGGGTCTTGGTTGGATGGAAGGGTATTGGTTGGATGGAGGGCTCTTGGTTGGGTGGAGGGGTATTGATTAGACGGAGTGGTCTTGGCTAGATGGAAGGGTATTTGTCGGATGGAAGGTGCAGGCTGGATGGAGGGCTCTTGGTTGAGTGGAGGGGTATTGGTTGGATGGAGGGGTCTTGGTTGCATGGGACAATGGGTGCATGAATGGAGGAGGGACCCAGCAGAAGAGGAGAGGCCTAAAGCATACCTCGATGGCCTGGGTGTACTGCTCCAGCCGCTCATCAATCTTGGAGATGGGCAGTGCTGGCTGGGACTTCTTCACACTGTTACTGGAGGGTAGGAGAAGGGTCACACCCCATGCTCTCTCACTTGGCTTGTACACCCCACCGCAAGCCCCTACCAGATCTCCCTCAGGCCCCTGGATCTCTGGCCCCCAGACCCCTCTCTTCAACCCTCTCTTGGGGAACCCTGAGTCCTAGTCTGGAAAAGAGCAGGCACACCTCTTCTTGACGGAGCGGTTCAGGGACTCGGTTCTGTCGATGAGCTGCGGAGAGCAAGCCGAGATGTGAGCCTTCAGCCAGAGCCCACACCAGCCCCCCCCCATTGCCCCAGTGGCTCCCGTCCACCAATCCAGCCTTCCACGATCCATTTCTCAGGGTTGGGCTGAGTGCTGGGCTTGGGGGAATAGCAGAGAAAGAGCAGGAGGTGCTCCCTATTCCTGGAGGTGACGTGTGGCTGCCTCTCTGGGGCTGTCATTTGGTCGTGATTCTGGGAAAGAGGAAAAGGCAGCAGGCTCTGGGGCTTGACCTACTTTGGTGCTGGGGCTCAGGGGAGGCGAGCCCTGCTCAGTAGCGCCCTCCAAGACCAGGGGGCTGGGTGTCCTGGGCTGCTGGCGTTCCTGGTGCTAGAAACAGAACATCTGAGGTTGTACGATGAGCACCCCCTTTGCACCCCTCCTGCCCCATCCAGGACTTGTTGGATCAAACATCTTCCCCTCCCTGGGCCTCAGGCCCTTTCCAGCCCTGACATGCTCTGGTTCTCGAATTCTCTGCAGTTCTCACTTGATCCCAGGGTCAGCAAGCCCCTCCACCCTCTGAGAATGCGGGTGCTAGAGTCTGGGGGTGGGGCGGTTCCCCCTTTAAGCCGGCCCAGCAAGGCTCATAGAACATGCAGTCAGCAGACACAGACCCAGCCCAGCGGTTCGAGTGTGCCCACCCCAAGGGGAGCCACCCCCACCTGCTCATCTGCCTCCTCAGCTTCTGCTGGCCCCAGGCTGCCCTTCATGGTCCCCTCTGGGCTCTTGGGCTCTGTCTCCTCTGTCGCCGGCCCCTCCTGGAGCTCTGAGCTGGGGCTCAGACGCAGCGCCTCCAGGCAAACACTGGCTGGGCTCTGCTCCTTTCCATCCTGGCTCCTGCAGGCATGCTGGTGGGACCTGGGGAGGAAGAGGAAGGCAATCCCACAGAAGGCCGTTCAGTTGCTTGCCTCAAGTCCCTTCCCGTTTCCAAACCTCAGTTTCTCCACCTGAAACACCAGCTGAGCGCCAAGGAATCCTGAGACCCCAGCCGCATTGGGGAAATGGGTCCAAGGACCTCAGAGCCAGCCCCCCGTCCCTGGGGCCCCTTGGTGAATGGTGCCCACTGCCAGAGTTCTGCTGCTCAGGATGCTCTCTCTTGCCTGGGGGCCACCTGCACTCTGAGGCTGGACCCGGTCTCCAGGCCCCAGCTCAAATCATGCTTGTCCGTGTCCCCCCTGCTGGCTGTGGCCCCCACTTGCTCCTGCCCTGCTCCGCGAGGGAGGCAAGGAGCCTGAGGAAGAAGGGTTTTGTGAAGGAGTGGGGCAGGGCCTGTGGGTGGTTTGGGGGCTGGTCCGCTGGAGGACAAGGCAGGGCAGAGGTCACAGTGAGGATCGCTGCCTACTGTCAGCCAGCGTGGCTCTGTGTTTGAGCAGGACTGAACCTGGGTAAGACGGGAAATTCTCGAATTTTCCATGATTTCACGCCCCTTGGTGTTGGTGCCAGCTCAAGACCCAGACCCACCGCCCAAGGTGGGTCGGTCCCAGGCAGCGGCAGGCGCACAGAGGGCCCATTCAGCTGCGGCAGGTACCGGGACTCGGCAGGTGTGGGGCAGGGAGGAGGGCTGCTGGAGCGCAGGAGGGTTCGACAGAAGAGCCAAAGTGCCCCCTGCTGTTGGGACAGCTGTGGCCCATGGCCGGCGGGAGAGGGGAGGGAGCCGGCAGGGCTAAGCCACCGGACGCCAGCGCACAGGCCAGCCTTGCTGACCCCAGATCCGTTTTAGACATGCAGAGTGTGCACTGACTCCCAAAGGCAGATGGGGGAAACTGAGGCCTGGAAGGGGCACCGGTGGGCAGAGGGCCGGCCAGGCAGCTGGCTCCCAGGGTGTGGGAGCTTGCTTGTAGGGTAGAGAAAGGGTGGTGGGAGAATTGGAGGGGTCTTAGCTAGAGCTCGAGGCTCCTGAGGGGCCTTGAAGGGCCGGGAGGTGGCCCAGAGAGGGGAGAGACATGGGTCTGGTGACATTCAAGGTAACTGGGGGACCCTGCCCCCCAAGCCTGAAGCTCCTGAGCAGAGCTTGGACCCTGTCCACAGTCGGGGGCCTTGAGCATGCCTGCAGGGTGTGGGGAGCACTCAGACCCCTGAATCGGGGTGGGGGTGAGGCTCCGGGCGCAACCCCCATCCCATCCCTGGGCCCCAGGGGCGCTTCGGCCCCCACCCCCGCCTGCCCGGTTCAGACCAGCAAACACGTCTGCACATCTGGAAAGCTTGTCCCTCCAGGCCGGCTCACAGGCCCGCACATCTGGAAATACCTGCTCCCCTCCGTGGGAATGGAGATCAGCCAGCCCCGAGGGAGGAAGGGGCGGGCGGGCGGCAGGGGCGCAGAGCCTCCATTACGTAAGTGGGCTGCAGATGTGTGCTGACGTGGCAACACCCCAGCCCGGGCCGCAGCTGGTCTGGACGGGGCCCAGGGGCCCTGGGGAGCCCAGGAATGAGATTTCCTCCCCAGCCCTCCCCGCAGCCCCTCGGCCCGCCGCCCTGCTGTCTAGTTCTCTTCCTCCCTTCCCCCTGCTCCCAGCTCCAGGGCATTTTGCGGGGCTGGTGGCCGGTTCTCAGGCACCGATTGGGGGCTTGGAGAGAGCCCCTGCCTGGCAGCCCTGCCTCTAGACGTTGACCCCCACTTGCCTGTCCGCCTCCTGCTGCCCCTCCGGACTCTCGCCCCAAGGGGGCTCCCCGCAGCTGGAGGTCTCCCCGGCCCCCCAGTGCTGCCGTTGCTGCTCCGGCTTCTGGGACCAGTCGCTGAAACCCTCATCCTCGTCCAGTTCTGGAGCCTCTGAGGGCTTCAGGCTGAGGCTGAAAGAGCCGCACAGGGTGCTCAGAGCTGGGCCAGGCCATGAAGGGCCGTACACACACTACCCACACCCCTCCTCCCTTCCTCAGACCCTGGGCTCCAGGGGTGGGAGACCCTTTCTGCCAGAGGCAGCACCCTGTGGCTGCGCTGAGCCTCCCCATTGTCTCCCACATAGTCTGGAGCTGCCTGAGGCCAAGGTTGTGTCTCACCCTATTAAGCCAGGGCCCCCCAGGAACAGGGCTCTATCTCCCTCATGAGTCTGAGGTTCCCAAAGAGCTGGGCTGTGCCTCCCCCGTCAGTTCAGGGCTCCCCCAGAGCTGGGTTGTGCTTCTACCATCAGTCTAGGGTCCCTCAGAGCCGGGCTATGCTTCCTCCATCAGTCTAGGGCCTTCTGAGAACTGAACTATGCCTCCCCCGTGCCTCTTGAGAGTTGGGCTATGCCTCCTCCATCAGTCTAGGATCCCCCGAGAGCTGGGCTGTGCTCCCCCATCAGTCTAGGGCCTTCTGAGAACGAGGCTATGCCTCCCCCATCCATCTAGGGTTTCTTTCGAGCTGGGCTATGCCTCCCCCATCAGGCTAGGTTTCCCTGAGAGCTGGGCTATGCCTCCCCCATTAGTCTAGGGTCTCTTGAGAACTAGGCTGCGCCTCCTCCATCAATCTAGGGTCCCCCAAGAGCTGGGTTGTGCCTCCCATCAGTCTAGGGTCCCCTGAGAGCTGGACGATGTCTCCCCCTTCAGTCTAGGGCCTCTGAAGAGCTGAGCTATGCCTCCCTCGTCAGTCTAAGGCCCCACAGGAGCTGGGCTGTGCCCCCCTCCATCAGTCTAGGGTCCCGGAGAGGGGGGCTGTACTCCCCCCTCAGTCTAGGGCCCCCTGATTGCTGGGCCGTGCCTCCTCTGTCACCCTGGGGTCCCCGTGTGTGGGGTTGTGTCTCCCTCTGCCCCCTCAGCTGAGCCCCCAGGGCTCTGGTGACATGCTCCTTCCCCAGGAAGCCCCTGCACCCCGTCCCCCCCACGGCAGGCCTGGGATCTGGTGCC